TGTGCTGTGGTACCATACTGTGCCATTGAACATACTATGTCATTGAACATACTGTGCTATGGTACCATCCTGTGCTGTGGTACCATACTGTGTCGTTGAACATACTGTGCTGTGGTACCATACTGTGTCATTGAACATACTGTACTGTGGTACTATACTGTGCCGCTGAACATACTGTGTCATTGAACATACTGTGCTATGGTACCATCCTGTGCTGTGGTGCCATACTGTGTCATTGAACATGCTGTGTCATTGAACATACTGTGCTGTGGTACCATACTGTGTCATTGAACATGCTGTGTCATTGAACATACTGTGCTGTGGTACCATACTGTGTCATTGAACATACTGTGCTGTGGTACCGAACTGTGTTGTTGAACATACTGTAATGTTGAACACACTGTGTTGTCAAACATCCTGTGTTGTTGAACATACTGTGCTGTGGTACCATACAGTGATGTTGAACACACTGTGTTGTTGAACACACTGTGTTGTTGAACACACTGTGTTGTTGAACACACTGTGTTGACTCCTAGCAGCCCCAGGTGTGGTGGACTAGAACCGCTCCATCATGTTTTCTTGGCTGTCATCTGGTAGGGAAGCAGATCACCAGGCAGTTTCTTCCTCGGAGCCGCTGAGTGGGTCCCCTTGCAAACCACCTGCACCGCCCAGTCTCCATGGTGAAGAAGGGGCTAATGTCACATTTTTCTTGAGACTGCTAGCCAGTTGGCCCATCAGCATTCATTAGCATAATCCCTTCTTTCCCAAGGACTACGGTGTCACTTTTACAAAATACCAAATTATGACATGGGAGAAAGATAAGACTTTCTACTCTCCTAGTTACAGCTTGGGAAACCCACAAGGACAGATCTCCCCTGCCCTACAGGGTTGCCATGAGTTGGGATTGTCTGGAAGGCAGTGAGTTATGCCAAAGTTTGTTCCTACACGATCCCTTTGACTTCGCTGCTCCGTCTCTTCTCATGTTAGCCTTAATGACTATACATTTATGTAACATAGGCTGACACTTGGGAGGGCACCACCCACTATCATCACGTTGATTCAGACTCGCAGTGGCCCTGTGCAACATTCCTGAGGCTGTAAATCTTTTTGTTGTCGTTGTTTTTACTGCGAGTTAGGTGCAAGTTGGGAGAGCAGATTGTGGTTTTCCATTAACCAAGTCACACGCGTTCTGATTCCTCATCCACTGGAACCCCTCAATGCACCCTGGCTTATCCCACTTCCTCCCCGCTTCCTGGTTCTACTCCTCCCTCTTTCCTAACCCTAAAAACTTTGTCCTTGGGAAAATGCTGCTCTTTTGATCTTAAATGGTTGATTATTCTAACATGGAGGTAAGTTCAGTTCCAGCCCTGAAGGCTATAAATCTTTACTTCCCAAAACCAAACCGACAAACTCACTGCCATCGAGCCCCGTGCTGACTCGCAGCGACCCTACAGACAGCGTAGAGCCGCCCCTGTGGGTTTCCAAGGCTGCAAACCTTTACGGAAGTAGGAAGCCTCATCGATCCCCCAGGCAGCAGCTAGGGTCTTTGAACTTCTGACCTTGTGGTGAGCAGTTCAATGCCTAACCCATTATGCCACCAGGTCTCCAAATCTTGATGAAGTTTTCCTTAATTTTCTTCTTTCAAGCTTTCTTGGCTTGTTAAGAATCACTTGACCAAGATCCCCATCACATTCTCCCCACCACCCAAAATTTTTGTGGTTTTGATTGAAATCTTTATAATCCATTTACTCAAGTGGTCTTTAAATGCTTCAGTAAAAATTTATAATTTTCTTCATCTGTTCTACATACTTTTGGTAAAGCTTATTCTGTAAGTGATACACACACATAATTGTTACTGTAAATGAGATCTGAAGATCAAATGGGGAAAATATTACAACAAATATTACAGGCAAAGGCTCTAAATGAGTCTTACAGAAAATGAACACATAATTCAAAAGAAACATCTAAATGCCCATTTACATGAATAATAATGACAGAAAAGCAAATGAAAGTGAGAGGCCATTTTCAGTTTCAAATGAATGAAAGCATGTTTTTTCAAGTAGAAAGAAAATGTTTTGGAAATGTTGATGGCAATAACTGTACAATTGTGCTTAATACAATTGAATTATGGATTGTCATAAGACTTGTAAGAGCCCCCCAATAAAATGATTAATGAAGAAAAGCAAACATGTTTCTTCTAATTTTAAAAAGGCAATGAAGAACGGGCTCTCTCCCCTTCCTAGTCAAACTGAAGCATATCACAGCCTATACTCTCAATACTAAGCGTAAGCGTGACACGGCAAAGCTGGACAGGGGTCCCAAGAACCCAGTTGCCATGGTGTCAACACCCACTCATGACTCCCCCCACCCCACCCCACAGAGAGGAAAATCTTGCTCCGTACGATTTCCAAGGGCTGATTTCACAGAAGTAGGTCACCAGGCCTTTCTTCCAAGGCACCTCTGGGTGAGTTCAAACCCCTGGCCTTTTAGTTAGCAACCAAGCAGTGCTACAACAGAGCCCTAAACTAACCACAGTGGGAATAAAAGGAGGGCGAAGGGTCCAGAGACCATTCAGAGACACCATCACCCTGGGCAGGCAGTGGGACCTGTCTGGGTGTTGAAGGTGTTGGTTGGGAAGGAGGAGCTGCTTAGCTGATCTTACAACATGCTGAGTTTGAGGTCTAGGGAGTCTTACCCCTAGACTCCCAGCAGATGATGGAACAGTATGGAAGATTCCTGGAAGAAGCTGGCACCAGGGATGTAGGTGAAACCTCCTAAACAAGAAGTGTGGAACAAGACGGGAGAGCTGATTCTCAGAGACTACCCACACTGCAGGGGTGACAAGAGAAGCGAGACATGTTGTCAGAGAATCCCGGCTCAGTGGAAGCACAAGGGGGTCAGGTGACCGAGGGAGGGAGAGCCAGCCGAGAAGAGAATCAGATGGATCGCCAGCAAAATAATCCCTTCTCATGCTTGGTTCTCCCAGAACATGTACCTGCTTCTGGGCAACAGAGTTCTTCAAACGCTCCATCTGTGTTATCCTCGTGCTGTTTCCTTAGGAGGTCTTCCTTAAACTTCAGCCCGTCCGCAAAGGTCAGCGTTTCGTTTAGTCTGTCAACTGCCTAACGTGGTTCCAATGAAGTTTCATGAGAAAGAAAACAGATTTTCAAAAATTAAACATCTGTGTGTGTGTGTTTCCTGCGATATTTACACAGCAAGATGCATGGTAACATGGGATCTATGTTTATGAAACAAACCTATAGAGACTGAAGACCGGGACTAGGTTGCGCAAGAGAGAAGCAGGAATGTTTCACGGCTGCTCCTTGTCAAGAGTGACAAGCTGAGGCCACGTGACAGCTGCATCTTCTTCCAGACCTGCTCATGGCCTTTTGCTCCAGCACGCTCAAGGTTAGCTTGCCCACACCTTGCTTTGAGAATGAAGCATTCCTAACCAGGCCCCTTCATGCACTGCCACCCAGGTGGTTCCAGCTCCTAGTAACCTGTGAGTTTCCAAACACTAAACCTTTTTTTTAAATTTTAATAAATAATTTTATTAAGGGCTCTTTTTTTTTATTAAGGGCTCGTATAGCTCCTTTTTTATCACTTTACTGGGGCCTCATACAGCTCTTATAACACTCCATACATCAATTGTATCGAGCACATTTGTACATATGTTGCCATCATTATTTCCCAAACATTTTCTTTCTACTTGAGCCCTTGGTATCAACTCTTCTTTTTGCCTCCCCCTCCCCAACCCTCCCACCCTCATGAACCCTTAATTTATAAATTATTTTTATTTTCATATTTTACACCATCTGCTGTCTCCCTTCAACCATGTTTCTATTGTTCATCCCCCTGGGGTGGGGGAGTTTTATGCCGGTCATTGCTATCAGTTCCCCCCTTTTCCCCCAAACTGTAAATCTTTCTGGGAGCAGAAAGCTCATCTTTCTCCCTCAGAGGAGCTGGTACTGGTAGTTTCGAACTGCTGACCGGTGTGGGAAACTGAGAGCTGGGAAGAGAGTGTATGGGGACACATTCTCTGTGCTCATATTTAAAGAGTCTGGAAGGCAAACTCTGGTGGAGGGAGACCTTCACATTTGTGAGTTGGAGATGAATCCCAGTCACAGACTCCTAACTAAAAGCTATTCCCCACAATGTCCCCAGTAGAGATGCCAATTTTAATATGCTGCTTGCAAGCACATGGTTGCTACTATATGCTTGAAGGTTAACTAGTTGCTTGAAGGTGGTCTGCCACCAAGCGAGCGATCAGACCACCCCACCATAAGTACGGCCCTCTCCCTTCTGATAAGAATCATGGATAGTTCCCAGAGAAGAGCTCAGGGACACTTAAGGTCGAGCCAGATCAGAGATGACTAAGGTTGTGCTGTCATCTTAACTCTAGAACCCGCCTACCTTGTTACATATGTACCTTCCTGTCACATGTATGCCTCTAGCACCTCCCTTTCCTGTTACGTGTATGCCCCTAGCACATCCCCTTCCTGTTATATATGTGCATGAAGGGGCTTGCATGCCCGAAATTATATAAGCCTGTGAGAGAATACATTAGCTCTCTCTCTCTTGATTCTGCCATTGGAAGAGGTGAGCCCTTGCATGTCTTGTTGTCGCTTTAATTTACTCTTTAATTACACAGTTGCCCCTTGCGACCTATTCGGTTGTGGAGGCTGGTCCTCCACAAACTTGCAGTTAGCCCAAAGTGTAATCAGACCCCCTATGCAGTTACTAATACTCCACAGCCAATTAGAAAGTGATGACTTGTACTTCACACATACGAAAGACAGAAGAGCAAAAGATAAACACCTTGGTGAGTAAAACTGTCCTGACCCATTATTTGCTTCTAGCAGGCCAGCTTCTGAGCCTCATGTCATAGAGCCACTGAGGCTCTGCTACTTCTCAATGCCAACCTAAAAATAGGCTCCGCCTATGCCCTCCACAGCTCTGAGGTCTGATGGATAAATAAAGGTGGGCCCTAACTATGATTACTGTAATACAGCCTTATGTAGCAAAATGCTTGTTAAAAAAAAGTGAGAGAAATTTGGGCATGTGCATTTAAAAGTTAATGAAGGGTATAAAAGAGATTGTGTATCAAACATGATGTACTAATAACTATGTAATATATGAGGGGGGCACTCAACAAATTTGTGGAGAAATGAAACTAAAATATAATGAAATTTTTCTGCAAACTTTTTGAAGTTGAGCATTGAACAAGAAAGACCATAGAAGAATTGAAGCATTTGAACTATGGTGCTGGTGAAGAATATTTAGTCAATGTAAAAAGACCAAAATCCTCATGAGTGAACCAATCAGTAGCATCATGATAAATGGAGAAAAGATTGAAGTTGTCAAGGATTTTGTCTTGCTTGGATCCACAATCAATGTCCATGGAAGCAGCAGTCAAGAGAACCAAAATCCATAGCATTGGGTAAATCTGCTGTATAAAACCCATGTCGAGGGTTGGAAAACAAGGACTAAGGAAGGTGTGCCTGACCCAAGCCATGGTGTTTCCAATGATCTCATTTGCATGTGAAAGTTGGACATTGAATAAGGAAGACCAAAGAAGAATCCATGTGTTTGAGTTGTGTTGGCTAAGAACATTGAACATACCATGGACTGCCAAAAGGACAAACAAGTCTGTCTTGGAAAAACATGGCCAGAGTTCAACTTACACACATGGGACCTGTTGGCAGGAGAAACCACTCCCTGGCGAAGGACATCATTCTTGATGAAGCAGAGGGGCAGGGAAAAAAGAGGAAGGCGTTTGACAAGACGGATTGACTCAGTGGTTGCATCAATGGGCTAGAGCATAGGCATAATTAATTGTAAGGTTGGTGTGTGACTGGACAGTATTTCGTTGTGCACAGTGTTGCTATGGGTTGGACCCGACTCCATAGCACCTAAAAGCGACAACAACAGCACAACATCAACTCTGATCAGTGGCTGGCTGCAGACAAGTTCTCTCAATGATATACTTGTCTTGGTTAAACTGGGGTGCCTTTGAAAATGAGGATACTCCTTCTGCCATATGGGAAAATAAACAAAACAAAACAAAACAAAAACAAATTTGAAGTCAGAAGCAATGTAAACTATTCCACAAAACTCAAATGCACAACTTCCCAAACCACTGAAACTTTACAAAACATGGATGGGAATGCTGCCCCACAGTTCTTTGATGGGTCAATCTTCTGGAAAAAAAAGGTTGGGAATCCCTCAAAGATGAGCCTAAAGAAGAAAGACCTACAAATGAAGGACCCGTGGAAGAGGGCCAGAACCTGGTGGCAGAAGACCAGGGAATACCATTGACGTTGGGATTGCACGCAGTTTAGTATGTTCAACTTTAAGGGAACGTCTTGGGCTGAGTGTTTTTGTTCAATGGGTGTCAAAAGTGTTGCACAAAGATCAGCTAGCTCGAAGAGATGATCTTTCCATCAGTCTTTTAGGTAAAATTGAAGCTAATGAATATGATTTTATGGGAAGAATTATAACCAAGGATAAGTCTGGGATAGACTAATATGGTCCAGAGAGCAAGTTGTAACCAAAACAATGGCTTCCAAAGGTGTCAAAGAGGTAATTCTGATAGATTTTCTCAAAAGACACAGGGTTCAAACTGCCAATCTTCTAACAGCAGTAGAGAGTTTAGCTATTTGCACCCTATGAGCTCCCCATATGAAAGGAAAATCCAAATGGAAATGCAAATCAATTAATTTTGACACCTATTAAGTAGGGCCAGGAAAAAGTGGATAAATATGATGTTGAAATCAAATAATAAAGCAATGTTTGAATGTATTATATGTGTGCCCTGCATTCATGCACCATAACAAGGTATTTGATGCATTTGGATACATCATGGAAATTAACCCAGAGACCTGTACCAAGCTACCACTAACTAATGAAGACATAAAACAAATATGGGTCCTGCTCGGCTCTTTAAGGCAATTCAGCATTTTAGGTGTTCACCGTGTATCATAGCAAGATGTGGTAGTTACATAATTTCATGTCAACTTGATAAAGTGTAGGGGTGGAGTTGATCCTGTCAATCAAGTTGCAGCTTGATGACCTCATTTGGAGGTGTGACTGAGATACATGGTTCGTTGGAGGCCGGCCCCTCTCTACTCTCACCTTCCTGTTGGCGAGCCACACTGAGCCCTGGGACCCCTGAGATGCACCACCACCTTTGGATCCACAAGACTTTGCACCCACCAGCAAATGATCTTCATGTATTCTGCATCGTTGCGTGTGATTGTGTGAGTCTAAAGAGGGACTTAGGGACTAGTAGCAGACTTATGGATTAGTATCAGACATAAGCACTTGATCTGGACTGGACTGGGATTTTGCTTGATATATAATAGCTTCTTTATATAAAGCTCTCTTACACATATATGAGTGTCTCTGGATTTGTTTCTCTAGTCAACCGGCTTACACGCAGGGTACATCTTAGAAGGTACAATATACATATCGTATATACTCAAGTATAAGTTTATACTCAAGTACACACAGTATATTGTATGGCCTACCACACAAGGTACAATATATACATCTTGACATGATACAAAAGTTAATATGGCACAGTGTTAATATTATATGGAAATGTGCCTTTATAAAAGAAAAATAAATCTAGGTGGAATCATTCATCTAAGGAAATAACTTTAAAGAAACAAGCAAGCCAGGAGGTCAAAAGTATTTTAGAGGATTAAACTGATCACTACAGTGTCTTTCAGGAATATTTAGAAAAATTCTCCCTCTAGCCTGTGGAAAAATGTCATGAAGCACACTATTAAGACACACATGTTTTCTTATGACCATGAACGGAAACATATCCTTCCTGGCATACCTCTTCCTCTGGTAGGTTATTTTCTTCAGAAATACAGTTGCTTAAATTAATTTCAAACTTTATCCCTCTCTAGAAGAAAGAAAGGGAAAGAATCTTTGTTTAGCAATCAAATAAAATAGCAACATCTTAGGTTTTTTGACATCACAGAAACTTAAAACTATTATTCTGACACTGCAAAATAAGGCAGTCCATGAAGTAGTATGAACAATATCTTACACATGACCCAGATAAAATGAAGTAGTATGAACAATATCCTACACATGACCCAGATAGAATGAAATAGTATGAACAATGTTCTACACGTGACCCAGATAAAATGGGATGGTCCCCTAACCAATATTTTAATATGCAAGCACAAGATGAAAATGTTCGTTACCAAAAAAAAAAAGAAAATGTTCGTTACCTTAACTTTATGTTTCTGTTCTGGAATTGTACTTTCCTTTATATTCTGAAGCCTAATGTGCTTCAAGTTTCTTTCAATACCCTGAAAGAGAGAAAATGAAAATTCTATCATTTAAGGTTAGCATTTTCATAACCTCTAAATTCATGACCCAGTACATTTACATGACTTGATTCCTGGATTCAGAAGATGAAGTAGATGAGGAATATCTTTACTGACAGACGATGGAACCTGGCTGAGAGCAGAGAACACCAGAAAGGTCTTTACTTGTGTTTTATTGAGTATGCAAAGGCATTAAATTATATAGATCATAGCAGACTATAGATAGCATTGAGAAGAATGGGGATGCCAGAACACACCATTGTGTTCATGTGGAACCTGTACAGGAGCCAATTGGAATAAAACAAGGGAATAGCATGAGGTTTAAAATCAGGAAAGTGTACATCAGGTTGTATCCTCTCACCATGCTAATGCAATCTATATGATGAGAAGATAATCTGAGAAGCTGGACTAGGTAAAGAATTCAGCATCAGGATTAAACAAAGATTTATTAACAACCTGTGCTGTGCAGGTGGCATACGCCTGCTTGACTTGAAGTACTTGCTGATGAAAATCAAACCCTGTCGCCTTCAGTATGGATTCCAAAATTTGTAAAGAAAATAGAAATCCTTACAACTGGACCAACAGATGTGATAAACAGAAAAGATAGAAGTTGTCGAGGATTTCCTTTCGTTTGGATCCACAATCAACACTGGGCAGCAACAGTCAAGCTATCGAAGGAGCTAGCCACTCCTTGGGGGAAAGAAGAGGCTTTATGCTTTTCTTGCATCAAATATATAAAATTTTATTCACTTAACTTTAGGTATAAACTCTCTCGGAGAAAATACCCTAATTTGCTTATTTCTTTCTAATATGTATTCATTGTTAGTCACTTGACTTTTCAATTTTATTTTAAGGTACTGGGTTCCATAGTGTTACCCAGCCAGAACATGAGAGAGAAAAATACTCTGTAAAACTTGATCTGTGTTGTTATTTTTTCACGGAATTTTACCCCACAGTTCCTGATACCTTTTATGATAATTTTACAGTATCTTCAGGAATTGTAACTTCTACTTCTCTAGGCCAAACTTTATGATAAACATTATTTAAAATATAAGGGATTGCTCTTACTATGATTCTTGATTGACAACAATAGTTCCTGGCACCAGGTAATAATTGGGAATCTTTTCAATTAAAAAAAAAAGGATACAGGGGTGTTTTTTTTCCTATGTATCATCACTATAATTTAAATGTAAACCATTTAATCATAGGAGTATTGTTATTTCATAGGTTGTAAAAGTCTTTCTCAGAATTAATCTGAATTAACTAAATCACTTCCATATGAGCTTGTAATATTTTCACAGAAAGGAAAAAAACTCTCTCAAGGTGCATTAGCTATTTCAGCTCTCTGTCTCCACCTCCCCTGCCGAAAATGTAAGGCTGAAATGACATGAAAGGAGCAGTGTATCAGTAGGTTTCATCATGTCCACTGTGTCTGAGCCACGGACACAAACACCATCCAGGAATCTAAAGAGAAAGCGTTCTCAGAATTGGCTTCCAACACTGCCATCAAGTCAATACTGACTCATCGTGATCCTATAGGACCGGGTAGAACTGCCCCTGTGAATTTCCAAGACTGTAATTTTTTTTTTCCTTTTGCGACTGTAACTCTTTATGGGAATAGAAAGCCAACCTTGAGGATCACGGCCCAACGTGTAACCCCTATGCCACCAGAGTTCCAAAACCGGATATGCCCTGGAAATCACTTAGGAAGCTTCTGAAAACAGGATGTCTGAGTCCCAGCTGAGATCAATTCGGTGGAGTGTAAGAATTGAGCATAAGCAATCATCAACAGTTCCTCACACGCTTTAAGTGCACAGTAAGGGTTAAGGAGCATTGGGCTAGAACAAACTCCATGGGAAACACATCAGCATCGAACAATCACCATTACTACCTGCACAGGTGACAATTCCTTGGGTGCTTCCTGGTTGATGGGCAAGTTACTTTTCTTCACCAAGTAGGTTCTCTGATCAATTTTTGGATCCTCCTTGAACAGAAATCATACACAGTCAACAAGCGTGGTTCTGAATCTCTTCTGGAGGCTACTTTATAAACATTGACCAGGGCTTGAATACATTCTAATGAGGACTTGCTTCCCTCCTGCTGGCAGATACCATCAGTGGAGGGACTGGAAAGAGCTCAGTGCTCTGGCTCCTCTTTCCCAAGCTGTCCTTGAAATCCCCCCAATACTTCTTTCATATGTTCTCCCTAAATGTCTGCTGTTCACCTTTCCTGAACTCAGATTCCCCACAACACACAAAACAAACCAACCAACCAAACCAAACCAGTTGTCATCAAATCCATTCCAAATCATAGCCCACCAACATGTTTCAGAGTAGAACTGGACTCCACAGAGTTTTCTTCATATACATAATCTTTTTATTGGCATATCTGACTCATTCCCATATGTCCCTTCCCCTCCCGAGCAGTCCCATCGGGTGGTCCACAGAGTTTTCAATGGCCATGATCCTTTGAAAGTAGGTGACCGGGTCTTCCTTCCAAGGTGCCTTCTGGTGGGTTTGAACTGCTAACCTTTCCAAGTGTTTAACCACCAGGGACCTACCTTGGATACAAGAATGAGGATGCCACATGAACCAAAACTGTGCTCTGGAAAGAACCACCTCCAACTTGTTCCCGTCTAGAATATGCCCAGTTCTCTTTCTGAAGTAACCCACGGCCTCCTCTCAGAATGCTGCTCTCCTCCTTTGCTCCATCCTTGGGCCTCTTTACAGGAGTAGAAAGTCCCATGTTTCTCCTGCAGAGCAGCTACTGGTTTGGAACTGCTGACCTTGCAGATCGTGGCCCAGTGCATACCCACCACACCACCAGAGCCTCTTTTATTGATATAAATCTCTACCTATGTATATCTACTTTATTGATATAAATCTCTACCTATATATATACACAAACTTCACTGGTTTTGCCTCTCCAGAGAACCTAGCCTAAGACTCATGCTTCTCTATATAATAAAATTGTGTAGTTTCTGGGAAAAGGTTATTAATCTTATGCCTGTTGAATTTAGTTAGCTCTTTAGGAATTATCGGTTTATTTAGGAGGATAAATTTGTTTACCTCCAGTTCTCGCCCCATCTTCTTTCTAATTGCTTTCATGTCACTGTGATACTCTTGGCGTATTTCCTCTAACTGCTTCCAATATTCCTGGAAAATAAACCCACCCCCAAATATTAATTTTGTGGAAAATTTAAGAAAAACACTATCTCTGAAACCTATGGTTTTTAAGAATGTGTGATGTAAAATACGAAGAAAACCAGTTACGCAATGAATGGTGACCTGGGAATACCATATATTTACTATCTTAATGTTTCCCTTGCTTTCTTATGACACATGTTCGTCTGGCAGGCATGGTTCTGCCTTTGTGAATGAGTGTTACTGACAGTTTGGCCCTATCACCAATCCCCATTGTTTGGGTAAATAGTGTCCAATCACTTCAAAGAGTTTAATCTGTACAAGTCAACAATTGATGTATTGCGATCTGAAGTTTACCTACACTTGCATCATTTCCTTTTATCAACAATATTTAAAATTCTATACCAACAATATTTAAAATTCATGACACAGTCAATAGAATTACATTATGCCTCATGGGGATGATTTATAATGTCCTCTATCATAAATTATAATGATGATAATATGAATAAAAGATATATGAATGTATTTTGGCTCACACTTAATTCTAGCCTCAATCTAAGAATAATAAGTTCTTTCTTTAAAAAAATCATTTTATTGAGAGCCCTTACAACAATCCATACATGAATTGTATCAAGCACATTTGCACATATGTTGCCATCATCATTTTCTAAACATTTATTTTCTATTTGAATGCTTGGTATCAGCTCCTCTTTTTCCCCTCCCTCCCACCTTTGTGAACCCTTGATAAATTATTATTATTTTCAGATCTTACATTGTCGGCTACTTCCCTTCACCCATGTTTCTGTTGTTCATCCCCCTGGGGGGGTATAAATAATTAGTTCTATGACATGGCCCTCTATGATACTTGCCCTTATGAAGAGATCACTGAAGATATGGGTGCTATAGCAAAGTGTGATGAAGAAATCAGATGGTGCCTGACTATCAGAAAGGATAGCATCTGGAGTCTTACAGATATGTCTTAAAACAAACAGCCATCTAAGTAAGGCCCATATGGAAGCCCACATGGACAAAGCCTGTGTGATCCAAGGACGGTAAATGATAAAATCCAAATCCAAAGGAGGGAATGGTATCAGAGCTTAAATTACGAACACGCAGGTCCAGAAGGCTGTGGATGATGGAGGCAGCCCACAATCCATTTGCAGGGTCGCCACATGAAGGAAGCCTTGGGTGAATCCCCGACCACGCTCTAGGGATGTGAATAGCCTTGCTGTCAAATAGGGAGGATTGTAATTCGATTATGGCAGACGTAGTTAGGTTAAAATATAACATTTTGTCCCTTAATCTCCCTTTTTAATCCATCTTAAAGTTGTTTCAGTTTTTAATATTTTATTTCTTTTCAATTGAGGTTTTTTCTGTTTGTTTAGTCCTTGCTGTTGTTTCGTTTGTTTGTTGTTTCCTGTTTGAGCTTTGTACGATTTTCTGTATATGAAACCCTAGGAGTCAATCTATAGAGACAGTAGCTGGATTAATCATTACAAAGGGGTGTGGGGGGGGGAGTTTGAGGGGAAACGGGGAGCTAAGAATGAGTACA